GGAACAAAAAGAAGGGTTTAACTAAGATTAATCAATTCTTATCCTCCTAAAAAGCTACTAACAGAACAGTATCATAACAGTGTTGTGATTAGTCTGTCATAGGCCTAAGTAGTTAGCAGTAGTACAGAATACAAGCAATTCTTCGTAGTCCTAGTGTCTATGGAGCATGTCACAAGCCCAAAAGCTCCCTTGGCTCTTTCAGCTGCAGATACCTTAGCAAATAGCCCATTTAGCCCTATTTCCATGTACAATACATATTCTCCCAGTAACTTTCAACTTGTGGCCAATTTCAACCAAGTATGGCAGACCAAAGATCTCAAGGATATGAAGTTCCTTGAATTTTTGTGAAAAATGAAAGGATGAAAGAGCCACATGAACAAGAGAAAAGCCAAGCTGTTCGCACCAGCAATCATCTGTTCTAGGACCTAGCAAAAATTGATAGCAAAAATCAACATGTGGTTAGCTCAGAACCAGCCACTGCATACGCCAGCTTTTGCCCCATCAATAATAAGAATCTGAGGTTACTGGAGGTGGGTAAATGGAAAGTTTGAAGGAAAAAAAAATTTAAGCTTCTTTCATTCTTTTTTGACACTGTAGCCACCCTATCAAATTTGTGTTCCTCTCAGAATTTCACATTTGAAAGTTAACAGAGCGCAAATATTCCAGAAATACCAAGTCTTATAAAGACATGCAACAGATTTTCATGAAGGATCAGTTCCAGTTTATGTCAGAACACCTTTGTGTTTTAGCATAGGAATACCCGACCTGGATCAGAAGCCGGTCACTGAACCAAGGCACAACCAAGCTGGAGGACAAGGATTTTAGCTTAGAGAAGGAAAGAGTTTATCTTTGAAATTTTTCTTCCATCTTGTACAAACATAGTATCTTTGATAATACTACCATAATGCTGAAGTCATTGACACCTGCTTCAGCTGGCAGTTCCTGTGGACAATTAAAGTCATACGATTATGTCTGGAATGCCCTCTCTAGCTTTTGACCTATGACCGAAGATGGCATATAGACAAATAAAACGTAGAGAGCATGCCAAGCAATTTAAAAAAGAACCTCAAAACTATGTTAAAGGCCACTTAGGATCTAGCATAATTTCAGTAAGGGAGCTTTCCGTTGGTGTAACACAGATCTTGCCTACATTTGCATAACAGCTTTCCACTAAGGCAGTCAGTTGTTTTTGGCATGATGCCTGCTTATACACCAAATGAAAATAACCTTTAAACCATCTTTTGCAGCCAGCTCAGCATGAACATTTCCTTTAATCTGATGGAAGGCTGATAAATGGGACAAATCTTCCTAATTGCTTGTCATCTTTGCCATATGTAATGAGCAAAAACAAGATTCAGACTTAACCTTCCCCCCCTCCCTTTTTAAACCCAAGATATTATTCCAGAGTTTTTTTGCTCTTTTTTCTTTTTTTTTTTTAATATTGGAAGCCAATGAAGATCTTGTGGAAATCTCTGTTACATGGGGAACCTGACAGCAGCATGGAATTCATATCTGAGGAGCGATTTCCACCTGCTCCATCCCCCCGGGAAGTAATCCTAACTCTAAACTCAGCCATCTAGCTGCCTCCATTCATGAATGAGGGGAATACCAATGTTATGGACTGTCAAACATGAATACAAAACAAAGACCCACCTATATTAGTCTTTAGACTAACTTTTCTAAAATTCTGATTAAAAAACCATAGGAATCTTAGAAATTAGACACATGTACACAGTTACCATCAAGTCATTATATCAGATTATATGAAGATACCATTCTAGACAATGTATCTGATAAAGTAAAAAAAAAGACATCTAATAAGAGTTCAGTTTTATCAAAATAAGCTTGATTCCTTGAAATTCTGCTTTGCTATGTAGAGTTAAAAGTATCCTAATAAACTCAACATTCCTAAAAGTGCATTTGGGGGGTAGGTGGGAAGTGGAAGGGGAGGAAGACAAACACACGCCACTGTCTCATTTCTTCCATAGTACCACACTTACGTGAAAAGAAGCCAGAATAGTTTTAGGCTGAACTTTGTAAACTACCCATTTATAATTCAAACTCCTTTTTTGACTGAAGATATAGGATATTGCAGTGCTGCAGACCTACAGTAATACGTAGTGTAAATATTGAAGCTGGAAAATAGTACTTTGCCCCAAAAGAAGCTTACAGGGTGGGCTGGATTTTAAGATTAGTTCAAACTCTTTGCTTTACTCTTTATAGATTTATAGTAACAAGTTATAGTTAAACTCTTTTATTGCACAGAAGATAAAATAAAATTACATATAGAACATAATGAGGCAGCTTGCAATTACCTAATGTACCCGTCACATTAAGGTCTCTCTGAAACAAAGCACAATTTTCCTCTAGGAATATGCAGTATTGATTATTTGCAGGCTGCAGTGTGGAAGTGGCTCCTACAGAAAGATGAATTATCTTTTTCTGAACCTAGTATTTATAGGTGGCATTTGTTTTGTGTTTTTTTTTTTTGTTTTGTTTGTAAAGAACTGCAACACCAATATAACTAGTTAACCTGTTGCATGCTTATAGCAAGTGCATTTTCAATGTTAATAATCACATTCCATGTGTAGCAGAAGTGTATATAAAATAATTTATATCAGAATTCTGGGAAGATTTCACTCAGTTTGCTCTTTACTCACTCATTATAATGTTCATTATAAATGTTCATTATAATGAACATTTACACAGTAGGTACACAACTCAAAGTGCTCTCAAACATTTTTTTAATATCAATTATGGAAAGTATTGTTACATGATAAACTTTTAAAATAAGCTTTATTTTCTAGATAGCAAATTAATGGAGCTTCTTACAGGAAAATTTTAATTATGACATTCTAAGAAAGCCGACTGAAGTAGATTTAAACACTGAACACTGAAGTAAAATTAATGAATTTTACTTTCAAAAATGTTTTTCTTCAAACATTTCTGACATAGGGATTCACCCTGTTCCCCTCCCCCATCTATATCTTGACAAAGAGACAGTTTAACTTCTATTAACTGTGGTCCTTCAAGATTTATTATTGATACATATATTGCAATCAAGACACAGAGGTATCCTGTGCAGATGCATTTCTGGCCTGTGTTGTTCACTAACCACCACACCTGTGCCCGATCCTTCAACTAATAGTACTACAGGGAAGAGAGACTACACAGTGTCTTTTAACCTCACAAACAGAATCCAGGAATTTAAAAATTAACAGGGAGGAAAACAGGCTATAGCGCAGATATGCAAAATACATAATTTCAGAACCTGTTTTGTTGCAAGCTAGGCAACTGTCGCATTTTGTTCTTGTTCGTTTATTCCAGCAGTGACAATGCATCTGATGTAAACTACTGCAAAGATCCTAATTAAGGACAGCAAGCTAGCTCTCACCAGATGAACAGTTCTTGATGCTCCTACAACAACAAACACTGCACAACGTTACATATTGAGTTCCCTACACATTTCTGCTGTGCACTCATCACTTAGAAATTACAACTGATACGTACCGCTGCTGGAGTGGATGATGATTGCTTCTAAATGCCTAGATATGTAACACCTAATCCAACATAGCTAGTAAAGGCTAGGAAAATTTTGGATCAACACACATCGACCTTCTACCACGTACACATTGCATGCAAGTGGCCTAGTTTAAAGTAATTCTTCTACAGGTGCAGAAGTCCTACTTTCTACTTTTCTAGGAGCTGTGATTTCAGCTGAAACAGTTTTTAGGTCAGTAGGAAAAGATGACATTGTGAGTAGCCCAAAAAGAAACATTATCAATACTTTTATAATCATGCTGGATCCAAGAGTTTGTGTTGTCAGAAGCATTATGCATTTTAATAAAATGTGGTACCGTGGGAGGGAATAAAAAGAAAAGCCCATGTATCCTGAACCAGAGGGTGGTTAACCAAGATGGAGATTATATACAAGCTATTAGGAAACTTTGTCAGTCCAGACCAGTTATAGATGATCTAGTGCATCTAATCAGCATTTGAAAGTCATTAGCAAGACACTGTAACTTCATCTTCTTTTGGAAAACATATAGCTCTAGTAGTGTTCTGTAGGCTATCAGAAATATTTTTGTCTTCTCTTGCAAATGATCTCTGCAAATTTAGCCTTTTATGTGAAATATATGGTAGAACTCCAGTGCCACAGTGAAATACCAAGTGCCACTAATACAGGGTTTACCAACATCACAACTATTAGCTTTGTGAAATTTAGTGCTGTCTGACAAATATCAGACAGTTCTTCAGGATCTGAAGAGAAATGGTAATATAAAGGAGGGAAACTCATTTGAGTTATATGGGGGGCATCCAATAGTAATTTCTAAACTTTAATAAACCAGCTATAATTTATAGGGTTCCTATAAAGGAGATATTTGTTTCTCAAAGATTGAGTACTCCTCTATCACCATGTGAAGAGAAAGAGAGCCAACAAGAAGTGCTTTTCTTTCTCTCACTCAAGAAAATTGTTGGTTTTTTTTTCACTGACCAAAAAGGCAGTATTATTTCTAAGCAAAATATTCAGTTATTTCAGGCTTTTAGATCATCGTAACAGATTTTTAAAAAAATTATTTTAATCACGTATCAGTAGGTTCAGATTTCAGTTCTTTTCAATTTAATAACTGAAATACAATCAGATAACATTTAAATGTGTTGCAAGATAATGATTAGTCATAAATAATTTAAAATACTGTCAAGTCATATTAAACAAGTACAGTCTTTTAAATATAAAGTAGTCTTAATATTTACCTAAACATTTTGTTATAACAATTCATAAAAATCACCTATTTAGAGGAACATATCTATAAAGGTCTCACATTCACAGTAAAATTTCTCCTGTTTTACAGTCCAAGCATACTGTATTTCTCACATATGGACCCTCTCCCATTAATCTGATGAAGGTAGATCTCCTACCATCAATCTGTTTGACCACAATGCACAATCTAAAATTTTACTGCAACCACAAACTTATCATATAACCAATCAAAACATACCAGTTTTTTCCGATGTTCTGAGAAACACCATGTCAGATGGGATTCGTTGATTCTGAGGAGAGGGGGAAAAAAAAGGTATATTTTTTTGTAAGCAAGGAAAAAAGTGAATTCCAATCAAATGTCCAGTAAGATCTATCACCAAAAGGTCACACTTGGATTGAAACTCAATTAAAATAGGATTTCTCACAGTACTTTACATTCAACATTTGCAATTCAGAAATCAATATTTTCGAAAAATTATACAATAAGCAAACAACAGCTAATCCTTTCAGATGCTCTTTATAAGTGCATCATAAATACCTGAAGAATTACAACATTTACATTTTCTAGACTGAAAAGTAGTTCGAGAATATAAATATCTAATTGAAATATTTTAAAAAATAATTTCACTGAGCAAAACTCTGACACTCAGTTAGCACGTATAATAGAAAAAACAGTGAAATTTAAAACATCTGTCTTGGCACTCAAGTTGCAAACATTATGTATACCAAGTAATCTCCTCTCTCCCAACACATACAAACATACACAGAGGACACAGCAAGTCAGGGAACAGCATTTTCTTATTTCACATATCTATAAATCTCTTCTTTACAAAGACAAAACTGAATAGAATTTTTTCCTCAGTATCTAACACATAGAGCCATATGCACAGTCAGACGCATCTGCACACCTGTTCTGCCATTTCCCTTTCAAGCACAGAACTATCTGTATCAAGTCACATTTTCAATTTTCTGTTGACCACAGAAAGGCCAATCTAAGCTTTCGCAGATTAAACAAAATGAACAAATACTGCCCTCCCACACACATGCTATCTGCTACATGACTACCCAAATCCTTAGCTCTCCCACCACTTGTTCACAAGGCATCTACCAGCACCAGTTACACATTGCCAACATAGGGTTTAAGAATGAAAAACCAGGGGAAGTAAAAATAACCAACATGTCAAAACCTGAAAGAGATACAGGACTGGAAAGGAAAAAAGCGACAGACTAAGCTGACAGGTACCAGAGCGAACAGTGGACAGAGCAATGAGAAAAAGATACCGTACTGAATTGCAGTTTCTTCCATCACAACTTATGTCCAGTATGGCACATGCTGTACTGTTTGATACTGAAGCTAAACACAAAGATTCATTTGCATTTCATTTACAGACTACCTTTAACCAATTAAGAAATCTCAGTGGATTATTAGCAATGGCTTTACTAGTTTCATGCTAAAAATATTTCTTAATATTCATTTCAGATTACTTGTTGACAGGATATAACGCACAAATACTTCACATAGAAAGTACCTCCATTTGAGAATAAATTTCAGGTTTTCCTGTTATACTTGGTTGATATTGCCTTGAAAGCCACTGCATACCTAAGGCTCATCTCTTAGTTTTTAAGAGCTCAACTGTCTGTTTGAGTGGAAAAGAAAAACAAACATAGCTGACAAAGCCCTCCACGTGGCATACACGAACCTCAGATTTCAGCCTTAAAAACCTGACTGAATTTACTCAACATAAAAAGTTAAGAAGCATGTTCAGTATATGAGCATTTCAAAACTACACAATTATTCCCTATTTCACACTTCAATTATAATCAAACTGCAAAATTAATACAGCAATAATAATTCAATTGTGGCTCTATTTTGCACATAAACTACCAGCTATAGAAAACTGGTTAGTTATTTTATACAGAAGAAACAGCAATGGAGATGGGGTCAAGCTAACCTGAAAACTTCAATTCAAGACATTAAGCAATAGAACATCTCACGTACTGAACGCAGCATACAGAATCCCACCTGTAAATTTTGTAAGGTTAATCCTAGTCACAATACTTTGATTCACTGTATCAAAGCGGAAGATACGAATTCTATGGGTTATTACAAAGATGTAACTATCAAAGAAAAACGAAATGGGTTCAAAGTTATCTTTACATGAAATTCAAGTGCGTTCAGCATGTAGCAGCTCTGAACATACTTGTCCCAACAGGAATCTAGGCAATAGCCCAGACCACAGCAAAAACAAACACATTCAAAAACCTTCTAGAATCACCACAAACACAGAGGGGTGTTTTTGTTCATTTGAGTCAAGCCAGTCCTCCATCTCAACATCACGAGGTTCAACAAGGCCAAGTGCAGGGTCCTGCACATTGGTTGGGGCAACCCCCGGTATCAATACAGGCTGGGGGATGAAGGGATTGAGAGCAGCCCTGCCGAGAAGGACTTGGGGGTACTGGTGGATGAAAAGCTGGACATGAGCCAGCAATGTGCACTCGCAGCCCAGAAAGCCAATTGTATCCTGGGCTGCATCAAAAGAAGCATGGCCAGCAGGTCGAGGGAGGTGATTCTGCCCCTCTACTCCGCTCTGGGGAGACCCCACCTGGAGTGCTACATCCAGCTCTGGAGCCCTCAGCATAAGAAAGAACAAGACCTGTTGGAGCAGGTCCGGAAGAGGGCCACAAAAGTGTTAAGGGGGATGGAACACTTCTCCTATGAAGAAAGGCTGAGAGAGTTGGGGTTATTCAGCCTGGAGAAGAGAAGGCTTTGGGGAGACCTTATTGCAGCCTTTCAATACTTAAAGGGGCTTATAAGAAAGATGGGGACAAACCTTTTAGCAGGGCCTGTTGCAACAGGACAAGGGGTAATGGTTTTAAACTAAAAGAGGGTAGATTCAGACTAGATATGAGGAAGAAATTTTTTATGCTGAGGGTGGTGAAGCACAGGAACAGGCTGCCCAGAGAGCTGGTAGATGCCCCATCTCTGGAAACATTCAAGGTCAGGTTGGACGGGGCTCTGAGCAACCTGATCTAGTTGAAGATGTGCCTGCTCATTGCAGGGAGGTTGGACTAGATGACCTTTAGAGGTCCCTTCCAACCCAAACTAGTCTATGATTCTATAATTTAAGGACACAAACTGCTATGAACAGAAACCCCAGCATTCTCCAACTGGTTTGATTTGAAACCAGACAGGTAGTTTCTCACTTTTAACCCTCCACCTTTCGCTTTTTTGAAGGCAACACTTCCCCTTCATCACTGCATGTCAAAAGAAAAATCTTAGAAACACGTACACTCATAGTCCCTCCAATAAAACAGCTCAAAATACATCCGTCAAGATAATTAAACACTGGTTTGTATGGCACTTAGTGTGTAGGACCTTCAAAATACTATGCCTGACTATCCATAAAAATCAATTCAGAGAGTGAAAAAATTTACATTGTCTCACTCGTAACAGAGAACAAATGTGTATTTACACCAGACAACACCACTGAAGAAGCTGAGCTTTTTCCCCCATATATAATGCTGTACTCTAATGTTTGCCTTAGTTCTTGAGAAGCCACACTCACATAGCAATATTATTTCTGACCACAAAACATCCTGGATACTGTAGGCAAATTTTTCCATTACTCCAAAGAAACCTTCCCGAGATCAGCATGCAGCCACAACAGTGCCATTCAGTGTGACGTGAATAGATATGTCAGTGTCAACTGCCAGATTCTGTGTTATATGGGCTCAGCTTTCAAAATAAGATGATGTAAGCTCTCTAAATCTCTGGGAGGCAGGTAGCTCTTGCCACTCCCTGTAACATACTCTCAAAGACACCAATTCAGAAGTGGGACTGGAAGCAACTGCAACCGTATTCTCTATTGATGGGAAGTTCAGTATAGAGAGGCCATGAAGAGCTACAGAGATGGTACTATCTCAAGCAAACAAGATGCTTGGAAAACAAGCAAGTTTGGAAACACTAGAAAATAGATGCATGTTCTGGTTTACCTAAAAATCCTATGCAGTTAGCAAAAAACCTTCCTCATACCTTAAAATTATGCATTTTTATGCATGGATACTTCCTGATTTGCAGCAATTCCCATTTATTTGTAAATGCACAAAGAGTTAAAAATTCACTTGCTTGACTGTATGTCAACAGTATTCACCTTTAAGAGGCTGCTCACCTGCAACTGCAGCTAGTGCAGCATTTTTTGGAATCTTGCCTTATAACAGAAAACAATTAAACATGTAATAAAACGTATTGTCCATCATGAGGTGGTGAATGGAGTTAAATGCAGTTGGCAGCCTGTCACGAGCGGTGTTCCCCAGGGCTCAGTTTTGGGGCCGGTCTTGTTCAATATCTTTATCAACGATCTGGATGAGGGGATCGAGTGCACCCTCAGTAAGTTTGCAGACGACACCAAGTTGGGC